ATTAGGAGGGGGGAAGAGAAATTAGGGGGGGAGAGAAATTTGGAGGGGGGTGAGAAAGAGAAATTGGGAGGAGGAGAAGGAAATTGGAGCGGGAGGAGAGATTGACATTCATCACATACACACAATGCACCCCTTGCACACAGAAAAACACACAATGCATTACACACACAGACACACATACACAAGCAATGCAACCGTTACACACAATGCATCCCTTACACACACAGAAACACACAATGCATTCATTACACACACTCAATGCACCCCCTACACACATTCAATGCATCCCATACATACACAGAAACACACCTGGCAGCCCTTACACATACAAACACAATTTCACACAATGCATTCCTTACACACATATCAGGACATCCCCTACACACTCCACCCCCTGTGAACAAACTCATTGGTGGAACATGAAGGTGGACCCTGGGACCCAGACCTTGAGCTGTGTAAAGGACCCCCAAAAAATGGAGCTGCTTCCCGTTCTCCCAGAACATTGATTTTTGTGACCACAGTTACAAACCGCCTCCAGAGAGCCTGTTCTGCACCAGACCAGTGGAGCCAGACTGCAGCTAGAGCCCATCATCATCCTCATCTGGTTGTAAGTAGGCAATCTAGTATATTATTCGTGGCACTAAGCTCTAATTTACCTCACATTAAAGAAACACTATAGTCCCAAGAACCACTGCAGCTTAATGTAGTGGTTCTGGTGTCTATAGCCTGTCCCTGCAGGCCTTTTAATGTAAACACGGCGGCACTGCAGCACTGGCGCTAGTTAACATGGCAAATCATATGGGTGGGGCATTGTGATGTCACATGGGGGGCGGCAAACTTTACTTTTGCCTAGGGCGGCAAAAATCCTTGCACCGGCCCTGGCTGGAGGGGGCTGTGTGAGCTGTGGCCGCACAGTGTCCCATGGTAGTTAGGGTGCCGTGCGGCCAGTACAGCTCACTCAAGCAAACAGCTGATAAACTGGCCGCACGGAGGAAATGTGTATGTGTGACTGTCTGCCTGTGACTGTGTGTGACTGTCTGCCTGTAACTGAGTGTGTGACTGTCTGCCTGTAAATGTGTGTGTGGGGCTGCAGGGATTTTGTAGAAGGGGGCGGGGGTTTTGTATTGGGACAGGAGTCTTTATAAGGGGGGATAAGCAGGGGATTTGTGGAAGGGGGTTTGCGGGGGTTTTGTAGACGGGGCAGTACAGGATTTGTAGAAGGGGCAGGACAGAGGTTTTGTAGGAGGGGCGGGGCAGGACAAGGGCTTTGTAGGAGGGGCTGACAGTGGTTTTGCAAAGTTTACAAATAATACAAAAAAAAGAAAGAAAACCTTTAACATTTTTTACAGGTTTTTTTTTTTTTTTTTGGGGTGGGGGGGCGAGAGGGGGTGCCAAGCACAGGATCCGCCCCGGGTGCCAAATGCTCTAGGTACGCCCCTGCCACCACGTACTAAGTCGAAAGGGGTCAAATACTTATTTCACTCATTGATATGCAAATCAATTTATAACTTTTTTGATATGTATATTTCTGAATTTTTTTGTTGTTATTTTGTCTCTCACTGTTAAAATACACCTACCATTAAAATTATAGACTGATCATTTATTTGTCAGTGGGCAAACTTTCAAAATCAGCAGGGGATCAAATACTTTTTCCCTCACTGTATATAAGATGTGTCGGTGCAATTAATGAAAAAGTTGTTAATGGCATTTGAACACAAACATATGCCCAAATATCTTGTGTCCTAAAGTACAACACATACAAAAGCTGTGCAACCAAGTGGCTAAATTTATTTGCCTCAAGTAAGATTTGGCAACACTATACAAAATAATTATAGGCACATATAGTTTTATGGAAACTTGGATTTTTATTCTTGTTTTTGCAGTTAGTTTTTTAAGCCACCAAAATCCACTGTTTAGTGAATAATCCCTTTTTATGTTTTGACATGTTCCATCTGGAAACAGAGTTACTCCAAGAGTCACCAATATGGTGTTCGATAGCCAGAGATCATATTTATTTTCCAGACTTTCTGGAAAATACCTTATAGCTCAGATGGGTAAATTTAAGGTTGTGAAACCCCAAACTACCCTTCGATGCTATAAAACTTGTATATTTTACTGGTAAACAGAGCCAGATTATTGATTAGCCTCCCCACATACTTTCACTCCCCCCCAGACACACTAAGCCCCCATACATTGTCATCACCTAACTCACATGCCACAGTCACTACCTCTCACCCTGTCACACTCACCCCTAACATTGTTACACTCAGCACCCCTCATCTTGTCACACTCACCTCTAATCTTGTCACACTCACACTCTAACACTCACCTCCTCTCACCCTGCCACACACCGTCACACTCACCCCACCCAACTAACCCCCTTACCCTGTCACATTCACCCTGCCACATTCACCTCTCATTCTGTCACACTAACCCTCTCACCCTGCTACACTAACCCCCTCATGCTGCCACACTAGCCCCCCTCATGCTGCCACACTAGCCCCTCACCCTTCCACACTAACTCCCTCATGCTGCCACACTAGCCCCCCTCACCCTGCCACATTCACCGCTGCCGCACGTACCCCCTCATTCTGTTACACTTACCCTCTCACTCTGCAACACTCACCCTGTCACACTTACCCACTATTTTTTTCACACTCACTCCCTCTCCCTGCCTCAGTCTCCCCCACTCACCTTATGATGATAGTCACCCCCTGAAAATAGTCGTCGTCATACATAGTCACCTCCCTCACATGAAACACAGCCTCACCATAAACACAACACACAAATACCACAAGCACACACAACACAAGCAACTACCCCACACACATTTGCCTCCAGACACAGGTACGGACATACACGCACATGCACAAGTATACAATGCCAGAGACACAGACACATTCAGTCAGAAATACACACTCTCAGGCACATACAGGTAAACAATGCTAGACACACAGACATATCCCCCCCACCCCAGCTCTTAAAAAAACCACACACACCAAGGGTCTTGTCAACCTTAATCCAGCTCTACTGATAAGCATTTGTATGGTGCAAAGAATCACAACATAAATTGGCAGCAGGATACATTTGTTGGAGAGGAACACATAGATGGAAGTACTTCATTACGAATTGCTCTTTTTAGTTATATTCTAGCTGTATTTTGAGTTATTCTGGGAATAGGATGAGATGAGGAAATTAGAAAATGCCAGAGGTAATAAAAAAGTAAATAGCATAATAAAGATCAAACTGACCCTCCAAGTTTATGAGTCATGTTCCTGGTTTATTAATGGTGCAATACAAACTTTAGAGCACACTAGAGCAATTTGCAGAAGAAAATATAGCCTGATTGTTGTCTTATTCTAAAGACATACCAGATAAAATACAGGCCTGCTATTTAAAGAACAAATAGTTAGGGTACTTTTCATCTACGGATACTTATAAATAGTAGCAAAAATATTGCCAGCCATCAGGCCTTCCCTGAGGCATTACAAATAGTTAGCTTTTTTTATCTACCATAAATTTCTAATACCCATAGTATTGTTGCTGAAATTAAAGGTCACATTAAATCAGGAACCTAAAAATTAAACCGTGTTATGAAACTAAGCTAATCTCTAATTTTAAAAATGATTTCCCTGTGGGGAACGTGTGTAAATAAAACTTTGACGTATTATTCCCTATTACAAGTGGATCTTTATCATAATCTTAGAATATCTGCTTTCTAAGCAAGCACCCACTTTCTATCCATGTAAGGCAGGATATTTTTATACTAACTATAAACTTATTAACAGCAACTATAAACAAATTGGACTGCTCATCTTCACGCAAAACGATAATGATATGATTGCAGGTTCGTTTTTGAAACATTGCTGGATGGTAATAGGAGCTATGTCCTTCTTATGAAGGTTGCTGCTCCCCTAAGTCCCCCTGCATCCTAAGCACCCTAACCCTGATTCTTTCATAGCCTTAAAGTGGTCTTAATCCACCACTCATTTAAGATCAAATACGCCGTAATATGTTTGGAGTCTTTCTAACGCAGATATATTTTTGTTTTACCCTTAGCAACAACTTTTTAAAGTAGACATTTTTAAGTGAATTACATTTTTCATAACCAGATGTCAGGCATGATAACAATTTGAAACAAACAAAATCAGAGCCTAAATTAAATATATTTAATAGAATATAAACTAAATTAAGATTTTTTTTTTTTATACAAGATGCAATGTTCTATGTGTTAATGTGTTACCTTTATATCTGTAGGTTTTTTAGTATTAGTCTAAACAACTGTAAAGTGTTTTTCCACGTCAAGGCAAAATCTCTTAGGTGAGTATTAACACTAATAATTCACTTTGCTGTCTGCAGCCAAAAGGTAACGTCTGTAATGACACAGAGAGTGCTATTTTTCTAAACTCCTACAACTTATTCTTAAATAGGGAACACATGGGGTGGGCGGCAGCACTGTAACATGGCTGTGTAATACAAAAATAAAGCTGCTACCCAGGATTAGTGGGAGTTTGAGCGCAGGGCTTCATCTTATATGTTAGTGATGGCTAGATGACTGGACAAGAGCACCTACAAAACATCGTCTTTTGAGGTGTTCCTGGTATGCAGTGGTTAGTACCTATCAGAAGTGGTGCAAGGAAAGACACACAAAAGAGCTGCTGTAGTTCAAATTGCGTGTGCCGCATTTACTTGGACGATGGCAGCAGGATGCCTTATGTCACTTCGGAACTTCAGCTCTTCGGACATTCATAAGCATCCGAATGTCCGAATGGCATGAAATTCGTACGAATGTACACTCGAAACAAAACTAATTGTACATGTCTATTGCTCATTTCATTGGAAAGGGAATAGTGAAACCGGATTGGGCAAGCAAGCATTACATTGCAGTAAAGGAATTAGCTTATTGGTCAAGGTTCCTGTCATCATTCACGTAATTTTCCCTCCCTCTCTCTTGTTTGGCACTTTTCAGAAATCCGAATCACTTTGGCACTTCTTAGTTTTGGCACTTCTGCATTTCCGAACTACCGAACTTCGTCACTTCAGAACTTCGGAGCTTCAGGACTTCGGACATTCGTAAGCATCGTAATGAATGCACATTTGGAACGAAATTCGTATGAATGTACATTCGGAACTAAACGAATTGCACATGCTCAATCTGATTGAGCATCTATGAGATGTACTGGAACAATAAATCTGATCCAAGGAGGTCCCACCTCGTAACTTCAGGCCTTAAAGGATGTGTTGCTAATGTCCTGGTGCCAGATACCACAGGACACATTCAGAGGTCTTGTGGAGTCCATGCCTTGATTCATCAGAGTTGTTTTGGCAGCAGAAGGGGGACCTACATGATATTAGACAGGGGGTTTTAATGTTAAGGCTGATCATTATTTATATATTAATTTAAGTACATTTGGTCAACATTTGACTACGCTACTTAGTCACCTTGGTTTAGTACATTTGGTGTATATTTGGCTATGCTACATTTTCACTTAAATTCAGTACATTTGGTCTACATTCGGCCTCTTTACATTTTTACTTTGGTTCAGTATATTTGGCCGATGTTCTGCTACATTATATAGTCACGGTGGTTCACTACATTCAGCCACACTACATTTTTATTACCTTATTTTAAGCCTTGTTTAGCTATCTTACCTGTCAGTAGGCATTTACCTATAATTTTATTATGTCACCAGTTAGTTCCAGGACTGCAGGTAAACTTCTACTGTATGTTTTTAAGGCAGTAAGCAACGTCATACTCTCATGCATATGGCATACTTTATAAGTTGCTTCATTGTGGTATTTACCTGCATATTAGGGCGTTTTGTGGCTTTGGATCTCGGTGGCTCGTTGGGGCATCCTGCACTGTACTGGATGGCATTTCTAATGTGGAGATTTGCCAGACAGGAGGAGAAAAAATGGTTTTCTTTTCATGCAGGCATCAGGTTCTGATGTGTATTGTTCTTAGTTACCTGATATTTGAACCTCAGTCTAGCAATACAGCATACCTTCAATTTACTTAGTTTATCTAAATCCCCAGAGACACACAGTATATTTGGCCAGCATGATCTATATAGTTTTGTTTTTGTTATTGGTATTATTAGTATGTAGTTGTATGTTAAATGGTTCTACACAGTGCTTTGGAATACTACAAGGGTTCGGTTTGCTTTAGTTTGTCATACGAATACCAGTTGTCAGAAGCTAAATTAAAGCATACCCCCTCATCTACAGTAACATCTACACTTACAGGTTCCCATGGTTCAATTTATTATGCTTATTTTGTGCCATAAGTGACAGTATCATTTGCTTAGGGGTATGAAGTATGCGCACCTGACTATTTCATTCAATATACCAGGTTTTGTATGAGGGCATGTCAGACTCTCTTATATGATTAATTTATTTTTTTAATTTATTTTAAGTTACTCCACATGTCCTCACTGTTTTATCCTATGCCTTTGTGTCACAATGCCCAGTTGCTCCAAACTTGTGTCTGGTTATCCACAAGTTGATATTTTGTGATTATGTACGCTCGCCTCTTGGTATTTACCTTACAGGGGCTGTGTTATTCAGTCATACTAGCCACCTCCCTTATCTCATGTATATATTCACATTAAGAACATATCAATATGTCAAGTCTTGCCATGTAGGCTTCACACCGGTGTTTGAATATCTAGGACTACTTTTAGCCAATGGTCAATTGGGTCCTTTATTATACTGTTCCATTTCCTTCTGTATGTTTTGGTAACAGGTATCACTTGAGTTTTTTTTTGTTCTTGACTTATCTTATTTACTTTATCGACCCTACTGGCAATCACTCTGCCGCATTTACATGGTGTCATTAACATAGTTTTTAATTATGAACACTAAGTTCTCTGGCGTCACTATGCAGTTTTGGTTTTAGGATATTGAACCACTATTCATCTTTTGCCCTCCATTTTCCTTTTCACTTATTCTTACGGTCAATTTCTAACATTCTAACTTTCATCAATTTGCCAGGTGTATGGTTTTTTAAGTCACATTTTCATTGTTTTCACATTCCCGTTTCTCAAGTCACCACGCAAGTGACTCACTTTTATGAAACTACCTCACTCCTTACGACAACCACTTGCTCTACAGAACGTTAGGTTTAGCTTGGTCTGGCTGTTAGGGTAGCTTAGGTGGGTATAGGTAGTATTTTTTGGCTTCTCGTTCCATTAGATACCTTTTTCGTGAGGCTAACTCCCATCCTCAACTACAGATGTATTTTGCTTCTCCGCACAATTCATAGTTATTACCTTGCTTCTTGGTAAAGCAGTAAGCACCTCAGTATGCTCAGTTGCATACCTACGCAATTGCCCAACTCATAGATAGAGCCTCTCATTGCCACTTGGCAACTAGTTAAATTCCCAAGTCACCAATTTTAGCTTAATGGTTTCGCCACTTGGCATAAGATAGGTCAGCCAGTACCTGGGTGTTATACAGTTGTTCACACTAACGATTCTTCTGTTTTTAAGGTATGGTTATAACTGATGCTACAACACATTGGTTGGCAGAGGGGAGGAGACAAAGAGCAGGAGATTAGAGGTGATGAAGCATTTGGATACTTAGTTTCAGGTCCAGTTTTGGAAGATGTACTGTAACACGAGCTTTGGGAATAGCTTTGGGAATAGTAAGTATTTCCTTACAACTGCGAGTACGGAGCACCACTCACATCAAATACATTGCCTTACAGCCAGCAGAGTTTCATGTTTTCAACATTGGGTTACAGAACAATTTTTGACCAATTAATTAAATTTTAAGTCCTTGATGTTTCTTTTCCCGTTCCCAACAATCTAGGAAGTAGTAACAGTTGCTGTATCAGTAAATGTACATGTAAGCCTAATCATAAGACTTATTAATTATGTACTTATGAGTTCAGGTAGTAATATTTTTGCCCTCTTTTTCAGGCCTGTTTTATTGGTTTCAGCACAGCACAACCGACTTGCTACTTCTGGTATAGCTCAAACCTATTGTATGCCCTTGGCTTTTGCCCCCGACCACAAATATAAAGGTAATATGCCTGGACTTGAGGGAGGGGGTTTGCCGGCCTACATCTACATACCTCCCAACTTCCTCCTGATGTTCGGCCGACGTTTTGGAACCTCACCCATCTCTTCCTCATTATATTATTTCAATAGGTCGGCCCTCTTTGTCAGACCTACCCGTTTGTCGGTTTCGGAACACCACAAACAAACTTGCTATTACTGATATAGCTCAAACTTATTGTATGCCCATGGCCTTGGAACCCGACCACAAATATATATATTTATATTTATTTTTTTTAAAACAAAATAATAAAGAAATAAAGTAGAAAAAAGAATAATGCAACAAAGCTTTTATCACTTTATTATCTCCATTCAAGTTTCATGCTTGAACCATTTGTTCTGAATATAAAACAATTTTTGCGTTGTCCTGGCCATATGTTGATGCAGCAGAATTTCAATACCAAAAACTGAAAAAGTTGCAAAAATGGCCCAATCAGTTTCTGCATAAATATATTATGTATATATTTTCCAGTACACTGATAGGGGCATTCCCCTGCCATTTGGTTCACAGATCATGTGAGAAAAATAAATCCATAGAGGGAAAAACATAAATATAATTTTTAACGCTCCTCATTTTCCTCTATTGGTTACTTCTCACTTTATGTGAGAATACAATCAAGATTTAAATTTTGTCAGCTCTCCATAAATAATTTTTCCCCCCCATCAATCATCTCTTTTTTTTTACCCAAAGCTAATCTCTAAGTCTACTGACTACCCAAAGTCAGGCTCTTTGACTCTGTATCGGCTGAGACAAATTGGCTCTGTTGTACATAAACTGTCTTCCTTGTAATAGATGACTCAGCTTGCTTGTCCGGGGACTCTTTGTGCTTTGCTTAATTATAAAGACTACCTACTGAGACACCATTTTCTTTCTACAAAGACGTTCTATGGTTACTATCTATATTCTTGGATCATTCCTTCATTTGGTGGTACAGGTGATTACAAACATATCCATCTTTTCTGACAATCCTCTGTCTACCTTTAACCAATTCTGCTTAAAAAATATAAAAAGTAAGTTAAGGCCAGATAACCTTTGTAACCCTATAATTGGATAGCACTAAATCGTGAATGGAGAGTTTCCAAGACGGCTTGAAATCGAGGAGTACATTCATATTTCAGAAGTAGTTAATGATTGACTGAATATGTGTAGTTGATGATGGAAGAATACAGTCGGCTTTTTAATGTTACCAGCGTAGGCCTTCATGCCTCAGTAGGTCTACAAACATATCCAAGCTTTTCATTTAGTAGCAACCAGTTCAGAATGTATTTAATAAGAAATTAAGACTTCTCCCAAAAGTCAAATCTGAATTAGAATGTTTAATTTTATGTGATTATTACACTCTATTTAAATGTATTGTGGCAACATTACTTAAATTGTTATACAGAATAAAGCTTTTTATTCACTTATTTTATTTGGTTTTCTTTTTTAAATATAATAATTAACTATTTTTTCATGTATTGCATACTGAGTACCTTGGTCTAGATAGAAAGTCAATGGTTTCAGTGTTTAGTCACACAATAATGAGGCATGCAGTAAAAGGGAGAATTAAAGGGTTGTTTTGGCAGTAAACACATTAATAATTATTATTTTCCTACCTGCAGCTAAGGCAGGAGCCACAGACTCAGGTGCATGGCCTGACTGTGACTCCACCTATGCTGGTTATATGTTTTTTTGTCAGAGCAGTCATTTACAGTGGGAAATTCCTTTACCTGGGGTGGGCTGGGCAAAAGATGAAAAGATCCTCAAGAAGAAAAAAAAAATGACTAGGAACTAATTTAAATGTCTGGATGTTTGGTTTCTCCCTGAACAATCACCTGCTCATCCCTTAGACACGGAGAGGCTCACCTGCTGTGTCCTGACTAAACAGCTGGCTCAACAACTTCTAAAAACTCTTTTCTGGCAAGCCTAATCTGTTTATTTTTATTGAAACACTTTCATCATAGCATAAGCAAGACAGATCACTTCAGAGGAAGATGGAGAAACTTGTCAGGCAGTTCTGGAGTTAGTAAGTTCATCTGGAATGATGGAGTTTTCTGTATCTACCTAGTAACAGAGGCCTCCACAAGTTAGTTAGTTTGTATTCCAAACCATGAGGGACATTTGGCTGAGGAGATGGTGAGACCATTTGGACCATGAGGACTTATCTGGCATCTCTGAGTGTGAATATTTAGAAATCAGAGGGAAGTTGTGTTGAATTTTGTACATGGACCCAAGTCTGAGAAAGACCACTGATGTCTGCCCTGCTGTTGGTTTGTGTTTTGCTTGTCTTGAGCAAGACTAAAGCCATAGAAGTACAGTCATGGACACCGTGCACAGGTAAATTATAACAAAAAATATTAAGTCATTCAAAAGGGACAATGTGGGCACTGTGTAAACTAGGTTATAGATTAACAGAGGTATAATTTAGCAAAACATGTATCATTGCATCTTTGCATTGCTTCTGTTTTTTATTTGTACAATTGTTACTTTTCTGTAAGGAAATGTCTTTCGATTTTTGAGAAGAAACAAGGACTGTCAATCCAATTAATGCTCATGTGGTTGCTAGATTCCTGCATACCCCTAATTTCTATTATTGTTTTGTTCACTAGTCACCTGACCAATACTTTATACACTTTGTTTATTTGTCACCTCCAGACCACTACTGAACTTGGGATGTTCTACTATAAACATTTTTAGCAGCTTGACGTCCTAATGAGCAGGTTAAAATAAATTCTAACCCCCCCCCCAAAAAAAAAACCAGAGACCAGAATGTACCATGTACTGCTTTATGGAATACCACGTTTAAATGCACCTTTATGCATTGTAGATCAGTGTCTCTTGGTAGACAAAATTCCTGCAATTAATGTAGATACTGCAAATAGTTTTGCTTTGAATGGGATTGGTTAAATTGGTATCAGAGAGAGACAAATTATGCGCTTCTAAATAAGATGGTTTCTTGCCATGAATTTGACGCTTCATGGTGACGTGAGGTTCCTTTCCAAAAGACACCTATTCTGTTAAAGTTCTGCAAAAAAAACCAAAAAACACTAATCACTTTCAGTAAAGTAGTATTCATAGGGAATTTTTGGCTACAATAGCGATTCTGGTGAAATTCTGCATAGGGGATAACAGTACAATATTGGGGTACTGTGACATAGTGGTGGACTTAAAACAACATGGCCCATATGTTGGAACTGAACCCCCATATTTGTTTGCTGATATAGGAAATTAATTAACCTTAAAAATGTAAAAAAAAAATAATAAAAAAAATGTATTTTTATGTGTGCGCTATTCCTTAGTCTGTATTATTTTCTGGGATGTGTCGCAAAACGTGTGAAAAGCAGAAGATTAACATAGATTTTTTATTTATTTTTTAAGTGTAGGTTGGTGGTAGTGGTGGTTGGTTATGGATCTTGGTAAACTACTTTTATACCATAAAAGCTATTACATAGCACAACTGTTCAAACAATGTTATTATTACACTCGGGAACCAGCACCTCTGCAGTGATTGATCATTTCAATGTTTGTACTACTGCTAATAGAAACACACCCACTACATGCACCGCTATAGTATATTTCTTCTTTGTGAATCCAATAAATCCAGCAGGTTTGTTTTCCTGCTCTTTTTCTTTGGTCTGGGCTGATCAAAGTCACCTGCACATTTATAACCCTTTTAGTGCTGGTGATATGTACATTCTAATGTGTATATTCATCAATGGACAAGCCAGAACTATTCATTCAGAAAATGTGTGGATGACAGGGTTCTATTCGGGCAAGTATAAAAGTCTAAATCAACCATTGTATGCAATGTAATCATGTAAACCCACAATGCCTAGCACGGGGCCACATGCTCGTTTTTGAAGAGGCAAACTAATTTAATTGAACCCATTTAGCTCACAAATTGGTAGTTTTTACCTCTATGACAACAACTGCATGCTAAAAATAATGCATCAAAAACGTCTTACCTGTATGTATTATAGAACATTTGTGAACACAATGTATTCATAAAAAAATACATAATTTGATGTCTATCTTTATCATTTAGTGTAAACTTGTTTCATTTGATTTAATGCCTGGGCAGATGATTCAGTCCTGCAAGTTCTGGATTATTGCCTATTGCTTCATGCAAGCAATTTCCTGGTGGAATTTTGATCTGACCACTGTGTCACCACCTTTTACCACTAAACTGATTGTAGTCCACCCTATTTAGGGATCGTTCCACACTTTGTTTGGTTTTCTCACTGTTAGATCTGAAACTTGAACAGTCATAAGTTCTGTTAACCAGGACTGTCTCTTTTGTGTGTTCAAAGAATGAAGAAGGGGTAGATTTCCAAACCACTGATATGGTTATATACATGCGTTTAATAAAGCTTAATTTAAATACAAAAAAACAAGTCCTGCACTCAAACTCCCTCTACTCTTGGGCGGCAGCAACAACCACAGTACACATAAGCCCCAATACATACAGTAAAAACCAAAGAAAAAAAGTTACCTGTGCTCTTTCCCAAATCCCTATGCATATTTAAAAAAATGGAGGTTATTTAGTTGCTCCAATGGCCATTAGATGGAATGCCCACCTGCCACGTCAAAGCAAACCTCTTAGGTGGGCCTGACACTAACCATTCACCTTGCTTCCTTGAGCTTCTGGAAAAGACATCTCTAATAAGACTGAGAGGGGTATTTTTTACATGCACCCCTACATGCTAATTAACCCTTAATGGGGAACACAAGGGGTGGGCGGCAGCATTGTAACCTAGCTGTGTGATACAAAAGTGAATACAAATACACAAAAACAAGTCCTGTGCTTAAACTTCCACTACTGTTGGGCAGCAGCAACGACCACACATCAGCCCCCATACAATACATAAACAAATAAAAGTTATTTAGGTACTCCAATGGCCTTCCCTCTAATGGCCATTGGAGTAACTAAATAACCTCCATTTGTTTAACCCCTTAGTGACCGTTTTTCAATTTTTCTTACCATTAAGGACCAGGGCTATTTTTACATTTCTGCTGTGTTTTTGTTTAGCTGTAATTTTCCTCTTACTCATTGACTCTACCCACACATATTATATACCATTTTCTCACCATTAAATGGTCTTTCTAAAGATACCATTATTTTCATCATATCATATAATCTACTATAAAGAAAATTATAAAATATGATGAAAATTTCTAAAAAATACACTTTTTCTAACTTTGACCCCCAAAATCTATTACACATCGACAACTGCCAAAAAAACACCTATGCTAAATAGTTTCTATATTTTGTCCTGAGTTTAGAAATACTCAATGTTAACATGTTCTTTTTTTTAAGTTACAATAAGAGGCACTTTGCTATTTCTAAACTTTTTTTGTTTTAAAATTAATGAAAGTTACATTGTAACACTGATATCTGTCAGGAATCCCTGAATAACCCTTCACATGTATGTATTTTTTAAAAGAAGACAACCTAAGGTATTAAACTTGGGGTATTTTGACTCTTTTAATGCAACCATTTTACCACCAATCTATGCCAAATTAAAATAAAATAATTGGTGATTTATTTGACACACATGTACTGAGAACTTTAAGGGTTACTGCCAAAGAACACCCCAATATGTGTTCAGCAACATCCTCCGAGTACAGTGATAACCACATGTATAGGTGTGTTGGGTTCTCTGGTGGCTAAAAGACCTTATTTGGAGGGTGCACATTCCAGTTTTCTAACTTGGAATTTTCGCAGCTAGTCATCATGAACCCATGTCCTATTTGGGATATTTTTGAAGCCAGCCAATGTAATTTATCCCCATCAAACCATATAGTTTTGAAAAGTAGACACCCTAGGGTATTTCAAA